AATATGATCAAAATACATTGTAGGAAGTTATTAGCTAAGTTTCTTTTTGAAAGACAATCAGGAATACAACAACAAATAATTCTATATTCACAGATTTGTCAATGTTAAGAACTGAGGAAATTTGGAAAGCCATGACCGGCAGTTTTCTATGAACTTGAGTCCATTCTGGTCTACACAGAAGTTTCCAGACTATCCAGGCCAGAGTTACACAGTGAAACACTTTCAAAAAACAAAACAAAAGAAAACCAACATCAACAATAAAACAAGCCACCACTCACAAAATCTGAAGCAATTCCTGTAAAGAAAAAACTCCAGGGTTAGATGTTTTCACAAGACATTTCTATGAAACATTTGTAACTTCTCACTATATATTCTGGTAAAGACAAATCTAAATAGAGACAGTAACAAATATTAGTAAATAGAAATTTGTTGCATATAAAAAGAATTAAGAATTATGGTTAAATAAGGCTTATTTGTAGTGTGTAAGTTAGTTCAACTTTTACAAAACAGTTGTGATGGCTATTCTTGTTTGTCCATTTAACTACATATAGAATTAACTAAAACCCAAGTGTGTGGGTACACCTGGGGAATTTCTTCTTCTTCTTCTTCTTCTTCTTCTTCTTCTTCTTCTTCTTCTTCTTCTTCTTCTTCTCCTTCTCCTTCTCCTTCTCCTTCTCCTTCTCCTTCTCCTTCTCCTTCTCCTTCTCCTTCTCCTTCTCCTTCTCCTTCTCCTTCTTCTTCTTTTGGTCAGGGAGGGTTTTGAGACAATGTTTCTCTGTATTGTTCTGGACCCTGTCCTGGAACTTGCTCTATAGACCAGGCTGGCCTGGAACTCATAGAGATCCGCCTACCTCAGCCTCCCGAGTTCTGGGATTAAAGGCATGCACCGCCAAGGCCAGGTGTAGGATTTTTTCTTAATTAAGAAGTTGGAAGATTCATTTTTAATCTGGAGGTGGGACAATCCACCTTTATCTGGAACACGTCTTCTGCTGGAAATCTCAATAAAGAACATGGAAGAAGGAAGCTTGCTCTCTTTGCTTGCTTGCTTGCTTGCTTGCTTGCTTGCTTGCTTGCTTGCTTGCTACTAGCTCTCACTGGCAAGTCCATTTTCTTCATTGTGTTTAGAGCCTCTTTCTTCAGGATTCTGGGATATCTGAAGACCAGCTAAGACTTCCAGTCTGGTAGACTAAGCAATTACTGTATTCTTCAATCTTCCATTGATAGATAGCCATTGTTGGACTAGCTGAATAACAGCCTATAAGCCATTCTAATAAATCCTCTTCATTCATTCATATATGTATGTATGTATGTATGCATGTATATTCATATATATGTATATATACATACATATATATACATATATGTATATATACATACATATATATACATATATACATATATACATATATACATATATATATATATATATAAAATCTCCTCTCAAAGCTTTCATCCCTAATACCACATTTGTATTGGTATTACATCAAAACAAACTTTGTAGGAACATAAATGCTCAAGTCCAGGTCAGTGTAATTAGAAGCTTTTGCTCTGTGAAAGAACACATAAAGCAGATGAAAAGACAAACTGTATATTTGAAAAAGAAAATACTCTCAAGCCATATATCTACCCAAGGTGTGCTATCTAGAATGCATAAAGACTTTTCAAAACACAATAGTAAATCCAATTATAAAACAGTCAAAAGACATACACAGATATTCCCTTAAAGGAAAAGATGCCCAACTTTATTAACCAGGAGGGAAAGCCATGCTAAAAACAAAAGAAGATAACACTACACTCCTATTAAACTATTCATCTATTCATTTTTAAAAACAACTGTGGATAGTGGGCAAGAATGAAGAAAAACTCAATAACATAAGGGAAAGTTTGGCTATTTCTTAAAAACTAAATGTAGTTATACCATCCAGCAATTATACTCAAGAATTTTCCACAGAGGAAAATGAACACGTGTATTCATGCACAAAAATATTCTTTAACTTCACTCTTAGTAAAGAGTTGGAAGCACCCTATACATCCTTTAATAGTTGAATGATTGAACTATGAGCTCTTTATATCACACAGTACAATTTCACAAAGAACAGAAATAAACTTGGATTAACCTCAAAGAAATCCTGCTAGATAGAAAGGCAGGGCCACTAAGGTAACATACACATATCCTTTGTACTATTCCATTCTTATAACATTTTGAAAATATACAATTTAAAAATTGGGTACAAACTGCAACAGTATTTGCAGATAAGGGGGAGAGGCTCAGGTAGGTAGGTTGGTATGGCTATAAAAAGGTAACCCAGAGTCATGGGATTACTTTGTACTGTTGACTGTAGTGGAGGATATGCAAACCTACACATGGGATCAAATTTCATAGAACTAAACACACATGTGCAAACATGCACAAACATGTAAAACATCTGAATAAGGTCAAAGAAATGTGGGTCACTTGGCTAGTGTGGATTTATGCCTTGTTGACACTCACTTTAGAAAGAATTAGGAAACAGATGGTCTGAGAAGCAGGAGTCTCAAACATTTGGCTTTGCCATGTCTGCAGGTCAGATGGGACAGTGAAGCCTGTCTCCACTGTGTTCATGTCAAATTTCTGGTAGGGGAATTATACTATCTATACTTTGCAAAATGTTTCCATTTGGGAAATTAGGTAAAACATATCAGAATATCTCACATTTATTTATTATAGTTGCACATGAATCTCCAATTATTTCAAAATAACTGTCCATTTTAAAGCCCAGTATTAACTATTGGTGAGGCAATGTTGGCAACATGAATAACCATACACAATCTGGTAGTTAATAAAAATCAAACATGTAATTACAATACAACCTATAAACTGTTTCTTAAATGGCAACCTTTTCTAGTATATAATTCTAGATATCTTCTGCCCAGTTGTACTTTTTCTGTTCATTTAAAAATAAAAGATTTATTTAAAATTTTTTAATACTGTTCATGGGGGAGTACACATTTCAGGCCCAAGGAGGCCAGAAGGGGGTGCTGGAATTTCCTGGAGCTGCAGTTACAGGCAGTGTTGAGCCACTTTGAACTAATAAAGTGATTGATGACTAAACTTTTTTTTTCTTCTACATTCGTTTTTTGCCTGTATAAGGGTGTCACATCCCCTGAACTGTAGTTACAGACAGTTGTGAGCTGCCATGTGGGTGCTGGGAATTGAACCCAGGTCTTCTGGAAGAGGAATCAATGCTCTAAACTACTGAATCATCTCTACCAACTCCAGATGTCTGGACTTTTTAAAGCCCAGTTTGTGGATTTCTGTTCTGTTTGGGCACATTTAAAAGCTTTTATATACCCTGGAGTCAGGGAGATAGATAATCCATAAGTTTTCTAAACACTGATGATTTTATGTTTTGTTGAATATTATTCACTTTAAACAATTTGTTCTGTATTATGTTGATAAGGGTGAAGGTTCTTATTTTTCATAATGCTTATCCATTTATTACAATATCATTTGTAGAAAAAAAACTGTTTCTTTCTTTGGATTTATCATGGTGGAGTCTTTAAGGGAATCTAATGTGTGTTTTGGATTTCTTTATTCTGTCATAAAATTATGGTGTGCCAATCCCTACACAAGTGTTATACTGTCTTAGGTACTAGAGCTTTGTAATTCTTCAGATTTCTATACCTTTGTTATCCTTCAAAAATCATCTAAAAATTCATAGATGCTCTGTGTTCATACAGATTTTTAGAAATAATTTTTATGTTGAAAAGATAGGTATTTTAAAATATCCTACATTAAATCATATAATCCATAAATGGGAATATATAGTTATTTATTTAGGTTTTTAATTCTCACCAAAAATATGTCATTTTCAGTATTGAGATCTTAGATATTGTGTTAAATTTATTTTTAATTATTTTGTAGCTTGAAACTGTTGTAGACAGAATGTTTTTGGATTTTTAATTTTTAATTCTTAGTATTAATATTGAAAAGTACAATTGTCCAGGCTGTAGTGGTACACGCCTTTGATCCCAGAACTTGGGAAGCAGAAGCAGGTGGATCTCTGTAAGTTCAAGGCCAGCCTGATCTACAAGACCAAATTCTAAGACAAGGAGAAACCCCGTCTCGAAAAACAACAACGAATAAAATAAAAGCACAATTGACTTTTATATCAGTGCTATATCTTGAAATCTTGATGGCTTGATTTATTAGCCACAGTCATAGTTTTGTAGAATCTTTTAGATTTTGGTATGTTAACATGATTTAAAAATACTTATCATTATGTTTTTTATTTCTTTCTAGTGTCTTATTGCAATAGCTGAGACTGTCAGTATGACATTAAATTGCAATGATGCCTTGTTCCTAGATTTGTGAAAGAATCATTTATTAGTTCATCAATAAGTATATATTTTTTCTGTTTTGTTGTGGCAAGCATTTGTCAAATTTAGGAGTTTTCTTTTATTACTAGTTTCCTGAAAGTTTTTTTTTCTTTATCACAAATGGCTGTTGAATTTTTCCAAATTCATAGTCCACTATGAAGTGATCTGAATGTACATTGCTATATTTTTTAAGTTTTGTTGTTTTTGTTTTCTGAAACAGGGTTTCTCTGTAGCTTTGGAGGCTGTCCTAGAACTCACTCAGTAGACCAGGCTGTCCTCAAACTCACAGAGATCCACCTGCCTCCCGAGTGCTGAGATTAAAGGTGTGTACCACCACTGCCTGGCTTGAATATTATATTTTAATGCGAAGGAACTTTTGAATTTCTGTGAAAACTGGATTGAATTTGGCAATAGGTATGTTGAAGTTAATGAAGAAAACAATTTTTAAACTGTTACAAAAGGGTGTAACTATAATATTAGGTTTAACTTTACACTTTAGGTGTAACTGATACTACTTGATATAGGCCTTCATAGGCATCAGTAATTATTCTCTCATATAGCAAGATGTTATAAGACACATTTCTAGTGAGTTCTTATCAATGCCTATGGTAACAGATGGCATGGACCTTTGTTTTTTGCAGATCAATAAACAGAAAGAAGAGATAGAAATAAGAAGAAAGTATGCCAGTTTAAGTACCAAGGTTGTATGGACTCTATCATCATCTATTATCTCTACTGCTATGCTATCTCTCTTCACTCAAGAATCTATGCATACAATTGCTTTCTCATATATGAATTTAAAAGAAAGTGCTTGATGGGCAAAGCTCTAGGAGTCCGGTCAGAGAGAGAGAAGGTATTTTATGAACAAGGGAGGTCAGGATCATGACTCATGACCACATGATGGGGAAATCCACAGAGATAACTGACCTAAGCTCATAGGAGCTCACAGACTCTGGACCAACAGCCGAGGAACCTGCATCAGACTGAACTATGCCCTCTGCATGTGGTTGACAGTTGTGTGGTTTGGTCTGTTTGTGGGGCCCCTGGCAGTGGGACAAGTATCTATCCCTGGTTCATGAGCTGGCTTTTTTGAGCCCATTCCTTATGCTGAGATGCCTTGCTCAGCCCTGATGCAGTGGGGAGGGGCTTAGTCCTGCTTAGTCCGATGTGCCAGGTTTTGTTGACTCCCTATGGGAGGCCTTGCCCTTGCTGAGGAGTGGATTGGGGAAGGGGAAATAGGGAGAGGGACAAGTGGAGGGAAGGAAAGAGGAACTGTGGTTGGTATGAAAAATAAATAGAAAATTTTAAATTAAAAAAAAAAGTGCTTGATATCAAGAGTAGGCAATGCTCTTGCAGAAGAGCCTGGTTCCTAGCACACAACCACCTCCAACTCTACCTTCAGGGGATCCAGCATCTTCTTCTAAATTCTGAGGATAGCAGCATTCACACACACACACACACACACTTAAAATAAGTCTTTTAAAAAGACTCGGTTGAAAGTGAAACAAGATGGGTATGTGGGAGATAGAAGATGAGAAAAGTAGGAAGGGGAGCTGAACAGTGGAACCAGCAAGCCACCTCTCAGAGAGGCTGCTGCAGACCCAAAGGCACAAATTCCTTCTTTTCTTCCCCACTTCTCCTTCCTTTCCCTTTTCCCACCTTCAGCCACCTCACCAGCTTCACAAGGACTGTGTATTTACAGGTGTTGCCAAGAAATGTCTATCTGTTTCTGTGTATTTTTCCTAGAACAAAGGGGTTAGAGGGACATTCAGCTCAGCTGCTAATCAAGGCAGGCAAAGGAGAGGGCTGTGGAACTAGGAGCAAAGGCAGATACACATCCCCAGAGAATGAAACTGCTCTCTCTGGGACTCCTGCTCAGGGGAGGGCAAGTAAGGGAGAGGTACAAATCTAAGGGGTGAAATAATAATTCTTGACTCTTTTGAGCAGAGAATAGCCAGGGGAAGAGACTCCGCTTTCTACTCACGGCCTTCAAGTCATCAGTCCAAGGGTGTGACACTATTCACTGAGTCTCCACATTTTATAAGGCCACCTTCTGCTTCCCTCAGCGTGTCTCCTAAGCTAAAAAAGAAGATGTCCAAGAAATATATTGGTGCTGCTGTTGTTCCTACTGTTACTGCAAGTGACACTACTGCTCCTGATGCAGCTACTGGTCCTGCTGCAGTTCCTTCTGCTCCTGGCACTGTTGTCACGACTCCTGTTCCTACTCTTATTACCGATTTCCTCGCACGGTCGGAGAAGGAAAAGCATGTAAGAACCATGAGCATCACCACCCCCTGCTGAACTTCACATACTTCCTGTGTCTTGTTGATCTGTCTTGTTAGCCTTTTTCAGCTGCAGCCTCATGCCTCCCACTTCCTGTCTAGCATCATCCAGGCTCACTGTCTAACATGCCTGACTCTCTCATTGGGATAAGGGCTCTGGAAGCTCACCAGGGTGGCCTTGATAAGTCTCTTAGCTTCCTCAAATAATACTACTGTTACCCATAGCTAGCTGCATTGTATAGGTTAGCGAGTCTTAGTAAATCTCTATTGGATTAGCAAAATCTGAGAAGCTGCATTCTAAGTGCTTGTTAGGGCACATATCTCTAATTCCTTACAGTGTGGTATTATATTACTGATGTCTCCCTGAAGGACATGGAAGGATCTGGTCATTTTGGTCACATAAGAGTCTAGATTAAACAGCTAGATTAAATAACACTATTAAGAACAGATATACACGAACTGTAAGCTGTCACTCTCCTTAACTATGTTAACAATCAGTTCTCTGAAGTTCAGTTGATTGGTGGCTTATGGTGGCACTATTCCCTAGACTTGGTTTCTAGGCTGCACACAAAGGAGAAAGCTAGCTGAGTACAGTCATTACTCTCCCTCTGCTTCCTGACTGTGGATACAATATGACTAACTGATGCAACTTGTTGCTGCTTTGACCTCACCATGATGGGGCTTACCCTGGAACTAAGGGTCAAAGCCCTTTCTCCCCTAAGTTTCTTTTGTGAAGGGCATATAACAACAGTAACAAGTAGCAAATGGGTGTGGCTTATTATTGGGTAGCATATTCCCCAAGACTGGCCTTTGTAATGATCCTGGGGATAATTTTCTTTGTGCTTAGTTGTGAGGATATTGATGGTTGTTGGTGCACATGGTTTTTAAGCACACTGAATTGTGTAACTAAGCAAGATTCTTTTCTGGGATGACCTCCAAAGAACTTAGGTTCAACTGGTGACTCACTGGGCCAATGGATAGCCCTTGGCATAGTTAATTCTGTATCAACAGTAATAAATTCACATAGTGTCCACTTGGATGTTTGAATCTGCTGTGTTCCTGAGTTTTGTTCTGCCAGGTCCTATGTCCTTCCTCCCCTCCAGGTGGCAGAATCTGCCTATCCCTGGGACTGTAAACAGAGTAGAATTATACAGTTTTGTACACCTTGCTTCCAGAAAGGCTACAGGCCTCTTAAGCTATTTAATTGGAGAAGTAGATAAGTCCTTTCTCCAGTGAAGGAGTGAGAAAGAGGGAGAGTTAGTATTGCTCTAGCAGGGAGTCAGCCTACTTGGAACAAAGCATCAATCAGTGAGAAAAAGCATTCTCTGCTGAGTAATCAGTGAGAAGAAGCATTCTCTCTCCTGTAGCGGTGCTTGCCTGCATGATCCCAGAACTCAGAAGGCAGAGGCAGGAAGAGCACTATGAGACTGAGACAAGCCTGAACTACAGTAATGAGTCTAAGGCCAGCAAGGGCTACACTGCAAGCCTTGTCTCAAAAACAAAAGAAAACCAAGAGACAAAAAGGAGGTGAGAAAGAGAGAAAGGAAGGAAGAAAGGAAAGAAGGAAGGAAGGAAAGAGAAATGTTTCCTCTATAAAAATTAGGAAGTAGAGTCAAGTGGGAGGATGCATGAACCTCCTAGGAAGAGATTTTGCACATGACTGAGCAGTGGCATAGTTCTCGAAGTGACTGTTTTATAATCCAGATATCGAGAAGTGTGTTGTTTAGTTCCCACCAAAAAAAAAACTGATGGAAGGCCTGGGAAGATGGCCCACTGGTTAAGAGTGCTTGCTGTACAAGCATGAGGACCTGTGATAGAGTGCCTAGCATTTGTGTAAAAAGCTAAGTGTGGCTGCTTATGCTGGTACCCTTACCATTCCCAGGTGAGACAGGACAGCCAGAGAGTCTTGCCCAGTAAGGGACCCTGTTCCAAGGGAAGAAAGCTGAGTAGAGTTAGACATCCGAGGCCCTCCTCTGTCCTCTGGGTTGACTGCTTGAGCAGGTACTCACGTCTGTGTGTCTGTCTGTCTGTCCCTCTCTCTCTCTCTCTCTCTCTCTCTCTCTCTCTCTCTCTCTCTCTGTGTGTGTGTGTGTGTGTGTGTGTGTGTGTGTGTGTGTGTGTGTGTGTGTTTATGTGAGAGAAAGAGAGGGGGTGAGAGGGCAAGGCAGGGTGAGAAACTAAAATTCCTGTCTGAGTGGTTAGTGCAGGAACAGGGAGACCAATCATCCTGAAGAACAAGGGTTCCTTGTCAGACGATCATGGAGCAATACTATGCCACCTAGTTTTTGAAAAACAAAAAGATTTTTAGGAATGTCTGGAGATGTAACTCAGTGGTAGAGTACTTGCCTACCATGCCTGGACCCATAGATTCCCATCCCCAGCCCTCTCAAAAGAAGTTTTTCACTAGAGGAAGGTTCACATATTGAGACAGACGTTTAGGAGTACAGATCTGTCACCTTCGTTAGTGTTGTGGAGATAGAGGAGATCCTGCTCAATTGGACAGAGGAGGGGGGTCTTAGGGTTTTAAGGGGTGGGCTCAGGCTGCCATAATGCCTCTCTGTATCTGTTAAGAGTTTTTACATGGCAAGGAGAGATGACCTTAAGACCTCACAAGGTAACTGACTTGTAAATTTCACTTTACAAATGTCCATCCTTGGAAAGTAGATTTTGACTATCTTTGGGTAGATTGTGAAGGCTTTTTAATAGAATGAACTTATGGCCATTTAGCCAAATCCAAGGGGCCTTAATGTTAGGATTCCTTAATGAGATGTGCAGGACTACTTATTCCTGAAGGTGTCAGTGGACAGTGAAGGGCCGTACCTTTCAGAAGTGTCTGGGGTCTGAGGTCCCAGATACTGGCAATAGGAGAGCAGAGTGGTGTCAACAGCCAGGTCCAGCAGCTGAGCTTCTATCCTGAGGTCCCAGCAGCAGGGGGCAACTGCACTAGCAGCATCCCTGCCCCCTTCATGATTCCAAGGCTGGAGCTGAATCCTAAATATCTGGTTCAGAAGCTGTGTCTTCAATATGGATACAGTAGGTACAGGCTGAGCTCTCATCATTGAGAGGCACAAGACTCCCTCACACACGTGAGCATACACACACACACAGAGAGAGAGGGGGGGGGAGAGGAAGGTGGACTTAGGGTCTTTGAGAAGTATGGTTTTTCAGTTGGCTTTCCTCCTAGAACTACACTTTCTCCTGGACATTTCCAGAACCTCATGAAACATTCTGTAAGTGGTGAAACTCTCAAGTTAATGTTTAACAAAAAAAAAAAAAAAAAAAAAAGGCACAAACAGGGCAAGAGGTGGGCATGGGGACCTAAGTTGTTCCTCTCACTGTCACAGTAATTTATTCAATTTTTAATTCATGTTCTGGTTCACTGCTGTCACCTATATTAGTAGTCATAATCCCTTGGCCACCTTCCCATGTGATTCCCTTTTCTGCTGCATATTAACTCCATCAGTACCAGTCTGCTTAGGATTACCTTTAATTGCTTAACTCAGAGGGTCAATAGACCTCTTTAAATAACCTTTAAAGGACTTTCTAATATCCACTATGTGCAAACAACCACATGGAAAGCTCGCTGCCGGAACTTTACATCAGCCATTTCACTTCCTAATTAATCATACTTATTTTTGAAATCTGTGTCATTTGGTGGGAACGGTGCACATGCTGCCTGGGGGAGGCACACAGTGATAAAGGCAGTGTTTAGCCAGTCTGAAAAACCATGACACACGCATTGCCTTCAGATACAAGTTTATAAACGATTTCACAATGTAAAATTTGTATTTGTACAGGGTACTTATGTAAAGTTTATTTTTTGATTGCTGTAAAACAGTACAAATACTCAGGTTTTATGATCAAGGTTAAACTGGATTCCCAGGTTTCCCTTCCACCTCACCCCACCCCAAGTAATTAGTTAATTAAGGTCACACCCAGTAAATGTTTCTCTGGAAGACTTCTGAGCCTCCTTCGGGGTAGCCTGGTCTATACTGACAGGCCATATGGCATATGCAGTGATCTGCTGTGGGTCCTTCTGTGTGGGAAATAGGACAAGGGACAAGGCCAATCTTGTTCTTCTTTTCACAATACAAAGCAATTCCCATGGGGCGGGGGAAGGGGGAAAGCCTCCAAAAAACAAAGGAACAGAAACTATAAAATACTTGTAACATTTCACTATGACTAGTAGAACATTTTTGCAATAGTTTGCAGTTGTGACTACAATCATCCTGCAAGCTAGTAATTTTTAAAATATGACTGTATGATACCAAATTTTTACTATCTACCAAATTATTATTATCTACCAAATTATTGTCTTCACCATTCAACTCTTTTGTTTGGCAAAATGGCACACAAAGTTTAAAACAAACTGTGCAAGGGGAGAAACATGTTTATTGTTTCTCCATTTCGTTCATTTCCCCCTTGCCTGAGCCTGGTAAATCAGAGCACAGAGAGAAGCCAGCACTTTGTGGAGTGTGGAGCTGGGAATGCCAGAGACTGAGTCACACAGAGAGAGATCCTGGATGTGACCTGTGTAGTCTTTGGAGGCTGTTTCCCTTTTATTTTGCTTTTCAATAGAGAGATTGCATGCCTTGGGGTGTTTGTTGTTCAACCCTAATGCCATCTCTTCATATTTACATTTATCTCTATACAGTTTCTTGGGTTTATGATTTGATATTTGATGTAGATGCAGCCCACCATTAACAAAACTGTTATGCAGCACAGAAATACAGGTCCATTCAACAATCTGAACTGCTCCAGAACCCTGGAATGCTCTGTTCATGAATACTTAACTTTTCCATGTACTTCTAACCCTTTTCCTTTGCCTGGCCCATGGCTACCCTCTGGTACATTACTGATATCTGAAGGTAGTTATTTGTTAAGAAGACCTTAATAATGTTCATATGAAAGTGAGTTAGTAAAGGTTTAGACAGAAAACAACTCATTTTTTTCCAGAATGTTTTGGTTTCCTTTCCTATTGCTGTGATAAAATGCCCCAACAAAAGCAACTTGGAGTAAGGAGAGTTTTTCTGGTTCTCAGTTCCTGGAGACTGTCAGTCCTGGCAGTGGAAACTGGCTTGAGGCAGCCAGTCACTTTATGTGTACTGCAAGGAAGTAGAGAATAATGAACACGGGCGCACAGCTGGCCTTCTCTTTCTTACGTAGACCAAGACCCAAATGTAAATAGTAATGCCACTGGCCTCCAAGGTAGACCTTCCCAGAGAGCATTGGTGATATAGTGGTGAACAAAACTGCCTTCCAAGGTAGACCTTCCTTTCTCACCAAAATGATCCTCACAGACTTCCGCAGAGGCTGAATCATCCCTCACAGGTGTCTCTGGAAACTCATTGTCTCAGTAATTCTGTCTCATCAGGTTGATAATTGAGACTAGCCATCACAGTGTGTCAGAAATGATTTTCATAGGGATTCATTTAAGTGTTTAAAGGAATTAGGAGAGAAAGAAGGGCTTTTTAATTTAATTTTATTTTATTTAGACAGGGTTTCTCTCTGTAGCCCTGGCTGTTCTGGAATTAGCTCTCTAGATCAGGGTGGCCTTGAACTCACAAAGATCTGCTTTCCTCTCCTTCCCAGCTACTGGGATTAAAGGCCACCACTACCCAGCAGAAAAGAACTTTTGACAAGAAAAAAGAAAATTGGTATATGTGAATATTATAAGGAATGTGGTAAATTTTATGGCCATTAATGCACATAATAATGTTGTTTCTGTTATACACCTTACTGACTCCAAATTTTTAAAATAAATTTATTTATTTTACATCCCAGCTGCAGCTACCCCTTCCTCCTCTCTTCCCAATACCCTCCCCCCATTTTTCCCACCCCCACAATCCACTCCTCCTCCATTTCTGTTAAGGAAAGGGCAAGTCTCCCATGGCTGTCAACAAAACATGGCATATCCAGTTGCAGTAGACTAAGCTCCTCCCCGTGTATTAAGGCTGGACAAGGAGACCCAGTATGAGGAGTAAGGTCCCAAAAGTCAACAAAAGAGTCAGAGACAGCCTCCTTCCCTACTGTTCCCACAAGAGGACGAAGCAACACAACTGTCACATATATGCGGAGGGCCTAGGTCAGTCACATGCTGGCTCCCTGGTTGTCTGTTCAGTCTCTGTGAGCTCTGATGAGCCCAGGTTAATTGATTCTGTGGATTCTCTTGTGATGTCCTTGATCCCCCACCACCACCTCTGGCTCCTACAATCCTTCCTCCATTTCTTCAGTAGTATTCCCTAAACTCTGCATAATGTTTGGCTGTGGGTCTGCATCTGTTTCCATCAGTTGCTGCATGAAGCCTCTCTGATGACAATTGGGCTAGGCACCAATCTGGTCACAGGAAATGGGCAGTTTAGACTACCTATCCACTTGCTGGGAGTCTTAGCTGGAATCATCCTTGTAGATTACTGGGAGATTTTGCACCTGGTTTTCATCTAACCCCAAAATGCACCCCCTTTTCAGTAGTCTCTTTCATTATTCTCCCTTTCTTCACTCCCCAACCTGAGTGCTCATGTTCCCATCCCCACCTTCCTTCAGTCTACTCACAAAATCTCTTCTATTTCTCTCTTCCAGAGAGATCTGGGCATCCCCACCACCACCACCCATGAACCCTCCTTGTTACCTAATCTCTTTTGGTCTATAGATTGTGGCATGGTTATCCTTTATCTTGCAGCTAATATCTACTTATTAGTGAGTACATACCATGTTTATCTTGGTCTGGATTACCTCACTCAGGATGATTTTTTTTTCTAGTTCCATCCATTTGCTTTCATATTTCCTGCCCTTGTTTTTTAACAGCTTAATAATAATACTCCATTGTGTAAATGTACCACAATTTCTTTATCTACTCCTCAACTGAGGGACATCTAGATTGTTTCCAGGTTCTGGCTAGTAGGAATAAGCCTGCTATAAACATAGTTGACAAGTATCCTTGTGATATGATTGAGCATTCTTTGGATATATGCCCAAGAGTGGTATTGCTGGGTCTTGAGGTATATTGATTCCCACTTTTCTGAGAAACCTGGCCACACTGACTTCCCAAGTGTCTGTAAGAGTTTTCATTCCCACCAGCAATGGAGTGTTCCCCTTGTTCCACATCCTTTCCAGCATGAGCTATCACTTCTGGTTTTGATCTTAGTCATTCTGACAGGTGTAAGATGGAATCTCAGAGTTGTTTTGATTTGTATTTCCATGATGGCTAAGGATATTGAACATCTCCTTATGTGTTTCTCAACTATTTGAGATTTTTCAGTTGAGAATTCTCTGTTTAGATCTGTACCCCAATTTTTAATTGGATTATTTACTTTGTTTATATCTAGTTTATTGAGTTCTTTGTATGTTTTGGAAATCAGATCTCTGTTGGATGTGGGGTTGGTGAAGATATTTTCCCATTCTGTAGGCTGCAGTTTTGTCCTATTGATGGTGTCTTTTGCCTTATGGAAACTTTCCAATTTCATGAGGTCCCATTGATTCATTGCTGATGTCTGTGTTATTGTGTTCTATTCAGGAAGTTATTTCCTATGCCAATGCATTCATGATTGTTTCCCACTTTCTCTTCTATTAAGTCCATTGTATCTGGATTTATATTGAGGTTTTTAATCCACTTGGAATTGAGTTTTTTGCAGGGTGATAGATATTTGCATTCTTCTACATGCCAACATCCAGTTAGACAAGCACTGTTTGTTGAAGATGCTTTCTTTTTTCATTGTATAATTTTGGCTTCTTTCTCCAAAATCAGATTCCATAGGTGTGTGGATTAACATTTTGGTCTTCAATTTGATCCATTGATTCATCTGTCTGTTTTTTTTGGAAATACCATGTAGTTTTTATTACTATAGATTTATAATAGAGCTTGAAATCAGGGATGGTAATACTTCATGAGGTTCTTTTATTGTACAGGGTTGTTTTAGCTATCCTGAGTTGTTTTCCCATACAAAGTTGAGTATTGTTCTTTCAAGGTCTGTAAAGAATTGTGTTGGCATTTTGATGTGTATTG